GCGGCCCAAGGGGAGCAGTTGGGGGTTCGGTGCCTTGCTCAAGGGTCTCACCTCAGTCGTGGTATTGAGGGTGGAAGAGTGTGCTGGTCATTCACTCCCCCCACCGACAATTCCTGCCGGGCCTGAGACTCGAACCCGCAACCTTTGGGTTTCAAGTCCGATTCTCTAAACATTAGGCCACAGCTGCCCTGCCCTGAGTGGAAAAATACATTTTAACCACTGATTCTTTGCAGCCTCATCTTTTGGAAGTGAAAATAAAACGAATTTACTTTCACGGCGTAGGACACAGGATCTTCTCGACCACATGAACAAGCTACAGTGTTTGAGGATGGGTCAAGTTGTTCGCGGCCGGCCAACGTAGAGCAGAGGCAGGCTTTATGCAAATGTGTTACCTTGTGATGTGTAGCCATCACGGAAGTAAGATTCGAATTACTGACGACTCGTTTAGGCTGTTCAGAGTCGATTCTTTCTTTTGGGAGACAATAACTTTATTTATCTTGCACTGTCGGCTTTACAACTCGGCAGATTATTTACATTCACAAACCGCTACAGTACACACTGCATGAAAGGCAATATTGGAAATGGCTTAATAGGGGCACTTTAAGTGATTTATGCTATCTATCGTGTCAATGATTTGAACTTAAGAACTAGGTCAATGCATTGGTTATTTTTTTTAGTAAACCAGTTGATTCAGTTTTAAAAAAACAGACTAAATTGTTTGGAATGTTTCACATCAGTTCAATTTAAATTACATCAGTTCAGAACTCTCAGAGGTCTAGAGACTTATATCAGTTCAGTAAAAACTCTAGAGATCGTCTCTGTTACGTATGTAACCCTCGTTCCCTTTCAGTCGGTCACTACGAGTCACGTCGTGACCGACGAATTGGGATCTCGCTTCGAGAGACCAATCTACTTCGAGTGTAAACTAAACGAGCCTATGGACATTGGCATGCGATGATTGCATCCAGCTGCCGCTGATCATAGTGTGAGCATAAAAAGGTAGCAGGTGCAACGCATACCAGGTTTTTGCTGAGGAGCCGAGCCGGTGACCCGGCCGCTCAGCGGTGGTATAGCAGCCATGGCGACGGGACGTGACGTTGCTGTTCCCTCCTTCAGGGAACGAGGGTTACATACGTTACCGAGACGTTCCCTTTCAGTCGGTCACTACGAGTCATGTCATGACCGATGAATTGGGATCCCTACCAAAGCGCCATGGATGCTGCCCCTTCCAGTGTCCTGTGCGAACCTCCTGTGCCCCTTTTTGGTGTAGGCCGGTGCTCGCAACAAGAAGACCAGTCACCGTTGTTGTAGCACTACCCACTCAGGGAGATTGGATAACACTGGGAAAACTTACCCGTTCCACTTGGAACAGGAACGTTGCGGAAGCCCAATGCTTCGGATGCACTTACACATATGAACAACCGTTTAGGTGTTTTTTTTTGAGCCAGCGCCCAGGAGGATGCAACACTTCTAGTAGAGTGAGCTCGCAACCTGAGTGGGCAGGGCACACCCTGTGCCTGATAAGCCAGGGTGATGGCATCCACAATCCAGTGGGCCATCCTCTTCTTAGAGACGGCCTTCCCCTTCTGGCGGCCTCCGAAACAGACAAAAAGCTGGTCTGAGGTCCAAAAGCTTTGTGTCCGGTCTACGTCTATCTCAAGGCTCGGACGGGACAAAGCAAAGCTAGGGGGCTGGGTCTGCCTCCTCCGGGGGCAGCGCTTGTAGGCTCACCACCTGATCCCTGAAGGGAGTAGTGGGAACCTTGGGCACATAGCCGGGCCGGGGCCTCAGGATTACCTGGGAGTCAGCCGGCCCAAACTCTAGGCATGAACCGTCGACCGAAAATGCATGCAGGTCCCCTACCCTCTTGATGGAGGCCAATGCAAGCAGGAGCAGAGTTTTCATTGAAAGAAACTTTAGCTCGACTGACTGCAAAGGCTAAAATGGGCCCTGCTGTAGTGTTTTAAGCACCAGAGACAGGTCCCAAGAGGGTATAGAGGGGGGCCGGGGAGGATTTAAC